TCCATGTGTAAATTGCTAAGTTGATGAGTCGCTCTCCCCCAAACATTAGCTTTTGTAAAGTAGTAATATATATATATATATATATATATATATCTATATGTGGGTTCCCGAAATCTAGCCGTTGTATATACACACACACACACACAAGAAACAGAGTAGACGAATATCATTTGCACACACCTGTAAAAGGAGAAGATTACCATGTGAGAGATAATCTCAACTCTGTAAAGCCTACAAACCAATTGATTACCATCCCACATTAAAAACTACATACATACACACACATATATATATATAATATATGTACATATCGTAAGTACTGCCCATATTTTTATGATTAATGACACCGACCTTTTCTCTACATATATATATATATATATATATATGCTTCCTGGATGAGGCAGAGATTTTTGGTCGGTCAAATATTAAATTTTACATGAAATTCAAGAATGTATATTTATTACATGTATAACCACATTACATATAAACAAGAATTATAATATCTTAATACTTCTCGTATATATGTATTTATACGTGTGTATATATATATATATATATATGGGGTCTGAAATAACAATTAATCGATTATTTACGAAAGATGCACGAGAGAGATCAGTATGAAAATGAGTTTATTTTATATACTGTCAAGGTCATTGTGTTATACATTCATAGAAGAATATTATTACTACTGGAGACAGCAAGGACGTGTGGGTTGTATGTATATATATATGTATATATGTATGCATGTATAGCTAACTTCTGGGTTGGGTTGGGGAGAAAGAGAGAGAGAGAGAGAGAGAGAGAGAGAGACGAAAGGAAAATTAATTAATAATAAAATGGATTAGGAGAATAATAATTAAAAATAATTATTTGTGCAATAATTAAATTTGTTTTATATATATATATATAAATAATTAAGCCTGTTGTAACGACAGAAAGTAGTTCTATGCATAATATTATTTTCTATTTAATTAAAGCAATTAATTTGTCTTTTAAACAAAAAAAAAATTATTTCTTATTTCTCTGCCTTGAAATTCTGATACATAAAATTGGAGTTTAATATTTTTAAAAAAAGTTAAATCAAAATAAAATAATTATGATTTGATTGGGTACTGACTACATTATTTAGTTGATGAGAAATATTATTTATTATATATATATATATACACACACAATAAATCATTCATAATATAATATAAATAATATTTAAATATAACATACCAATTATTATATTTGTTATTTATGAGTTATTTACTAACTTAAATAATTATTTAATATCTAATAATATTTCTCTAAATTTTTGTATAATTTTATTGAATTAAATATTAAATATTAATAAAATAAAGTTATAAATTTAAGTATTAAATATTACAATGTTATACAGCAGTAGTAAAAACGCATCAAAAGCTTGCGGCTTTCTTTTTTCTTTTTTTTCTTGGGCAGGGGAAAAAGACTTCAATCTTTTTTACTGTGTCTGCTGCCGCCACTGCAACCAATCAAACCTCTGTTTTCGCTTGGCGAAACAAAGGTAAAAATCTGCAGATAATTGAATTTGAATCTTGTGATTTATGGGATTGCCTTTGAATCTTTTTGCTAATCGAGACCCTGAAAAAGCTCAAATCTTTGTCTGCACCTGGGAGGAGGCGGTCAATTTGGGTTTTTCCCCGGGGGGGTGGGGGATAAAAGAACTGATTCATGCTTGCTTCAAGTCCGCAAAGAATCTTTTAATCCGCAGAGAAAGACCAAATTTGTTAATGAAGTCAAGAAACCCAAACTAGAAAAAAAGTTTGGATAAGCTCTCTCTTCTTTCTCTCTCTCTCCCTCTCTCTCTCTCTCTCTCTAAATTCTCTACCTTTTTTCAGAGTGATTTTTATGATCTGCAATCCCTAGAATGATTAGGGAGCAAGCTAGGAATGTAATCTCAGAAACCCTTCAAGGGAATTTTTGAGAGAGGAAGAGATAGATAAGAAGAGGGGAAAGAAATCTTCATACTCTCCTTCTCCTCCCTCTTCATCTTATTTCACCATTAGAGCATAAGCTCCTTTGAAGCTCTTCTTTTTAGTTTTCTTTTTTTTTTGTTTTTTGAAGAGAAGAGAGAGAGAGAGAGAGAGGGAGAGTCACAATAATCCTATCTCACTTCCTACCTAGAAAGTAAACGAAGTTCCCTGTTTGGATTATCGTACTAATATTATTATTTTAATATTTCTAATTTTTTTTATAAAAACTACTTCACATTCGCCCAAATTTTGCATCTTCCTAAGTTTCTCTTGTTACATTCACGAGAAAACAGAAGAGAAAAAGCAAAGAAAGGAAGAGACATTTCTCCTCCTCAGGAGGGAAGGGGTCTTTTTCTTTTCTTTTTTTCTTTTTTAAAAAACAGAAGAAGCAGAATTGCAGAAGAATAAAAGGAGAGAGAGAGAGAGAGAGAGAGGAAACATACACATTACACCTCCAACAAATATATACCTCACCATTATTATTGTCCCTTCAACAATGTTTCTTCCCACCTGCATTTTCTTATTGTTCCTTTTCAGCTCTCTTTCTTACACAACCAGAGCTGCTGCTCTCAATCTCACCCTTCCTCACCAGCATCCTTACCCAGAAGCTGTTGTTCAAGATGTTCAAAGGTAGGTCCTTTCTAGCTCCAGTCTTCTAATAATGGGAAACCACACAACTGGGTTTTGCTTGTTTTATGGTTTTCCATTTTGGGTTTCAGCTAGAGAAAAGAAAGAGAACTTTTATTCAGCACGTTTTAGGGATTTTCCCCAAAAATTTCTCTGTTTTGCTCTGTCTCAAACCAAAATCCCCCATGGGTTTTCGTCATTTTCAATCAGGGTGTTCTCAATCTCAAAGCTTTCACCGGAAAATCCCGATTTTTTTTTTTACTCATTTCAGAATTCTACAATCTGGTTGTTCCTCATTTGTTGAGATTTTTCTAAAAGACACTGGAATTTCTTACCTTTCACTACACCAGTCAGAGAAACAGAGCATCATCTCTGCTCTCTCTCATTTTCAACCTAGCAGCATCTAGCTTTGTTCTTCAAAAATGCTGCATTTTTTATTTTCATCAATGGGGCGCGGTCACACCATCATAATTTTATTGCAGGAAAGTCAATACCTCCGTCTCAAGAAGGCAACTTTTTACAGTTCAACAGCACGACCAATCTTCATGCCTCACCGGAAACCCCATTGACGACTGCTGGCGGTGCGACCCGAACTGGGCCAATAACCGGCAACGCCTAGCCGACTGCTCCATCGGCTTCGGCCATGGAACCCTCGGCGGAAAAGGCGGCAAGATCTACATAGTCACCGACTCCTCCGACAGAAACCCGGCCAACCCAACCCCAGGCACCCTCCGTCACGCCGTCATCCAAACCGAACCTCTCTGGATCATCTTCTCCTCCAACATGCTCATCAACCTCAGGCACGAACTAATCATCAACAGTTACAAAACCATCGACGGCCGTGGCGCTAACATCGAGATCACCGGCCACGGTTGTCTCACCATTCAAGACGTCTCCCATGTAATCATCCACAACATCCAAATCCACCATTGCAAACCCTCGGGTAAAACAATGATCGCCTCGTCACCAACACACGTCGGCTTTCGTGGAGTATCGGACGGCGACGGAATCTCCATCTCCGGCTCGCAGAAGATCTGGATAGACCACTGTTCACTCAGTTACTGTACGGACGGGTTAATCGACGCCATAATGGGCTCGACGGGAATCACCATCTCCAACAGTTATTTCTCGCATCACGACGAGGTGATGTTGCTGGGTCATGACGATAAATTCTTGCCGGATTCAGGGATGCAGGTGACGATAGCGTTTAACCATTTCGGAGTGGCGCTGGTGCAGCGGATGCCGCGGTGTAGACGAGGGTATATACACGTGGTGAATAATGATTTCACGGCGTGGGAGATGTATGCTATCGGAGGTAGTGCTAATCCCACCATTAACAGCCAAGGAAACCGGTACACAGCTCCGGCGAATCCCGACGCCAAGGAGGTAATTTAGTAAATTTTCATGTTTTATTACTTCTTAATTAATTTTTTTTTTTTTGAGGGAGAAAAAAAGTGATATTTTGCCGTTGATAGTAGTCCCCTCCCTCGTGAACTTTTTGACTTGTGTCTGGCAGATTGTGGATATTCGCTGTATGGCCCTATTACCCTGATTCGCAGCGGTGGCGCGTAGAAACACGCTCCGCCGTATGCGTTCACATGAGGGTTCCGGCGGGGGGGAGGGGAGAAAAAAAAAATTATTGATTACAAAAACCAAAAAATATAACTAACTTACATGTTATTTTATAAGTATATTATAAATTTGACGATATCTAAATTAGATTTTGTTTCAATTGAGTTATAACGTTTTCGAACTAAAAGAACATATTGTAAAAACTACATTGTCAGGATCGATGAATAATGTTTGAATTACTTGGGGTTAGAGATTGGCTTATAAGCGTATTGGTTAGATTTTCGGACCAAATTAGGTTTTATTTCGGCGAGCTATAATGTTTACGAGCTAAATGAATATTTCGTGACAGCTTGTTTTTGTTAGTTGGTTACTTTGTGAGGGTCGAAGAATAATGTTTGATTTAATAGAGTTAGAATTTAGTTTATAAGTTTGTTGGCATAGGTTTCAGTGACTAAGTTGAATTTTATTTCGAACATATAATATTTTTGAGTGAGAAAAATATTTTGTCGGATTAATTATTTTAATTTAAATTTTTATTTTTTTAGAAAAAAGAAACTAATTTTAAAAATTAAAATAAAAATTTAAGTCCATGAAAGGGATGGGAGCGGTAGTGCATGACAGCCAACGAATCTTGCGTCGTAGACGGTTGCCAGCAGTTGTTACTGCACCTTCCACTCGCCTAATAATCGCGTGGCTTCACTCTCTGACGGCGTTATATATATTGTAATTGTGCAGGTGACGAAGCGCGTGGAGACAGACGAGAACGACTGGGCGGATTGGAACTGGAGGACGGACGGCGACTTGATGGTAAACGGTGCGTTTTTTGTGCCGTCGGGAGCCGGACTCAGCGCGCAGTACGCAAAAGCGTCGAGTGTGGAGCCCAAGGCTGCGGCGCTCATTAACCAACTCACTATGAACGCTGGTGTCTGGGGTGGGACCAGGTACCTCACTTTTTTACCTTAACCTATTTTTCCTTTTTCCTAAAATTTACTTTTTTTACTTTTCTTTTTTAACAAAAAAAAAAAAATTACAACTGAATTACCTGTCAGATTAAACTTTAAATGGTGTGTTTAATTTCTAAGAAACAAACCAGGAATACCCTTCTCCGATTAGAATCGGAATCGATGCGGGTTTTGAAAGTGTAAATTATTATAGCGAGAGTTCCTTGGGTTATTGATTCTGTAGCATCCTGAAGCGAAATTAACTGAATTTTGAGTTCTCTAGTGTCCAAGACGGAGAGTTAGATCAAATATTGTTTGGTTTAGTTGGGTTTTGTTAAAAATTCAACCTTTTCAATTGGGTCCTTGAGCTCGGTGGCAATAAACCTCGTGCGAATTCGTCGAACTAAAAAAAAAAAAAATGAGAGTTAGGTTAAGAAAAACCTAGGGTAAAACCCATTTTCCTTTTTGGGGAAGTAGGTGAAAATGCAATGCTAATACATATACATATATCTATATTTTATGTCATGGTATTTTAGATAGTAACTTATTTTTGGATGTTTCCTCCACCAATTTCACTTTTTGGTTTAAATCTTTTTAGTGAGTGGAGATTGTTTTTGGCATCCTATGTGAAAACTTTTTTGAAAGCTTTTGGTAAAATGTTTCATACGAAATTCAAAAATTAATATTTTTATTTAAAATATCTATAATAAGTCAAGTTATATTTCCTATTGTTTTTTATACGGTGTTTGGCAGTTTCTGAGTATATGGGTTTAAATCTATTATTTCAGTTCTCCTTTTTATGCAAATTTTCAGCTTTTTATGATATGGGTAAATATTATTATTAGTACTGTGAATGAAGGGTTGAGATTTGAAAAAAGTGTAAGTGTGGGGAGGGGGGAACATTTACATCATAAGATTCTGGCTTTTTCATAGCTGCATGTGACCATGCTGCATTGGGAATCTCCTTCACCTGACCAAAACAGCGTTACACTCACCTGTCTTACTCTCCCTCTCTTCTCTGTCTCTTCTTTCCCCCTCTCTCCCTTTCCAACACTTATATATATACATACATATAATACACACACAGGCACACCTTTTGTCTACTTGAAAGTTTATCTTAATTTGGGTTAACTCTGTTCTCTGACCTCATTAGACCCGAGCGGTCAAGGATCTTCATCTATACTACATGCTACCATACAAGACTGAACTGGCAAAAATCATCCACCTAGTTTTTGGCATCAGCATTTATTAATTACCCTTGGAGTCGAGTAAGTTTTTGTAAACTCCGCGGCTAGTAATATGAGATGCCAAACTAAGTTACTTGGGGGGGGGATTTTTACTGCGGTTGAATGGTATACTACCAAATTTACTTATTGGCTCTATCAAATTTACTTGTTCATGTTCCTTTGGTGATGATGTGCATGGTTAACCCGAGCTGACTCATCAGCTATATATTCCACTTTGATCTGCTTTCCAGCCAGTAAAAATGGTGGGGCCCATCTTCTTTCGCAAAATTTAAAAGTGGGTCCCCCCCCCCCCTTTCAACACTTCTCTGATTTTGATGTGATGATGTGAGTTGTGAACATGGACAACTAGCAGTTGCATCAGCATGGAGAAAAACTGAGTGCTCCCATGGCCCTGCTGCTTTCTGTGTCTTGTTCTTGACTTTTTGTTCTTATGGGTTATGGCCATTTTTGATCACTAGGTACTTCACACACTCTCTTAGTTATATTCCACCTCTCACACATTTGACACCAGGCTATATATATAACACATGGTTGCCGGACCCCAATAGCTCAATCGGCCTAAGTACATTTTGGATATTCTGTCAGCATATACCCGTTACGCTAAAGAATTTTTTTCTGATAGATATAGTATTTTATGTCGAGAAACGAAAGCGTGGTAGTAAGATCGAGTAAAATATTAGCGTCGTAATGAATTGAAGGACAAAAGAGCATGTTTATCGCATTACTCAGCGACCCACATGAAGCCTTAACCTTTTGGAATTGGATCATCAGCGGCACCGCCAAACTTGTTCTAATTTTCGTTCAATGGATTTGGTGCTTTTCGGGTTAGTGTCTTCGCAAAAAGATGCTGATTTCTAACTCTCAGAAACTTGTGTTGTTGGCCCATGCGAAAGCCGCTCCTCATAACACCTTTCTTTCCTTTTCTTGTTTAATTGTTTTAGACTTTTAGTTCAATCTTTTTCTTTTTGTTGCTGCTACCTACGGATGTTGACAATCAATAATTTGGGTCTCAAAAAAGATTCCAATAATCACACAGTGATATAAAAAATTATTAAATATATATATAAAATTAGTATAAATTCTTATATATTATTGATATGAGATTATAACATCCCATCATAGAGAGAATCCATTTTTTTTTACCTTGATAATCCTATTCACCTCGATGCATATGGAATTCAATCCGACTAACCAAATACCCAGAAGAGATTATATATATATATACACAGACATATAAATTTGATCCACTTTGTATGAAATGTTGTCATTGTTTTAATCCCATTTAGTGATGTATGTTTGTATCGTGTTGGATTCGCGATGCATGTGGAATTCAAACCAAGATCATTATCCATCTTAAATGATTTTACCAGTCAAACTAACCAGTACCCAGAAGAGATTATATATATATATATATATATATACACACATACATATACGTACACATATGTTTAATCCTACATTGTATGTAAAAGTCATGTTGTCATTGTTTAATCCCATTTGGTGCTGTATGTTTCTATCTGTTTGAATTAATTGGAACAGGGACAAGAGTGAGGGTGGCTCCTATCCTGGATTTATAGGTGGTGGGACAGGCGGCGGTGGCACCATGAACACCGGTGGGTCCACGAACGGGGATCGTGATGGTGACCTGTTTGGTATGATATTCGGGAGCGGTGCTCCGCCTCCACCAGCTCCACCGGCCGCCACCACAATGGTGTTATCTGTTTTGATTATTTTGGTTTTGTACACTATCATCACCAACCAAGGTGCACAACACTTGTCCTTACCATTATTATAGAAAGCAATCAAACAGGTGATGAAGAGAATTATTATATTTTAGATGAAAGGAAAAAAGAAAATGAAAAAAAATATATATATAGAAAAATTTTCATTCTATGGTCGGGCCGCCACGTGAGAAAACTTAGTCTTCTCGTTTAAAAATATAATAGATTCGTAGAGATTTATTCTAATTTGATTAGCGACTCAAGTTTTGTTTTTACTAAATTTATTCGGTGTGGGCGTTAGAGCATTGAGAGGATCGGAAAAGACGTACCTTTAGTTATCCAACGTTTATCGTGCTCACGATAAACGTTGGATAACTAAGTGTGGAGCGACTAACTGCTGAAAGTATCTAAATAGTAAGTCTATCCTAAGTCGAGTGTTCTTCTATTCCGACTTCTTTAGAATCTTCGGTAATACAGTGAAAATAACAACGAGTTCGCTATTCCTGTGGAGATGAAGTAACAGAAGTTTTATTATAAGTCGATCATTATCGATCGATAATTCTTTTATAAAAAGTTTAAATTTTTTATTTTTAAATAAAATAAAAATATTTTAATTATTAGATCATAAATTAAATACTATAGATATAAATTATTTAATTAATAATGTATAAGATAGGATTTCAATGGTTGGAATGAGGTTTTCTTGATGTTGCCGGGTCAATTTCGGGGGTCTCGTCAACTTTGACTTTTCTTTTTTTTTTTTTTTTTTTTGTGGTTAAAAAAAAAATCTCATCACTTTTTAAGTTTATAACAAAGAAATAAAACTCTCCCCTAACTTCGAAGACCCGGAAAGAGAAAGGAAAATTTTCCCCACTGACATCAAGTAGCAGTTTTACAAGGCAGGCTCATGATATTATAAATGAAATTTAAGTAGATCCAATAATCACAAAGATATATCAACCCGGTGTTATAAAACTAGATATCCTGCTGCATAGATTCAGATAAGTTCCAAAGCATGCTAATGTAATCTTACAGCCAAACAATTTTGGACCAATAATAACTGATACACCAAAGAATATCCTACAATTCCATTACCCAATCCGTCCAAGAGAGAAGTGCGAGACTAAGGAAAGCAAAAAGCAATTTCAATGAATTAACACAAACAGAGACATGAAGATCCTACTTATATCTAATCAAGCTTTCATTAGAACAAGGAAACACACAATAAAAAATATTGATCTCTTACATTGACAGCAGCTCACATGCCTTTCAAAAATAAGAATTGTACAAGATATACCAAAAATATGTATCAGAAGGTGACTAAACTATATAGGTTTTCTCAATATTACAAACATTTATTACATAATATTAAAATGTGACTAACATGATATTAGAACTGCAAAAGTGACAAATGAGACAAAATGTTCTACCGTTATTCAGAGCCTCCTTTCTAATTTATCAATATAAATTATTCTAGGAAGAGACAAATGCACCAGCAGTCAAAGAAAGAATATGTCTAACCACTCAAATACAGAAGCTCAATAAAGAAATCTCATCACTTTGGCTTCCTGAAAGCACCATCTCCTAATTCAGTACCAACAATTGAAGTTAAAATGCTATAAACATTTAATTTAGCTTTTAACTGGCAGAAAAACATATATATAAGTATTTGGTTGAAGTGGGATTAAAATCATTGATATAATAGGACTTATTACCTACTGTTGGGTTGGTCTATGTGTTATAAATGCTGCATTCATTTGAAGGATCCAGATAAAGAGTCCCTATTTGTTAATAATGACATACATGGTGATAGGTACGGACGAAATTTGGCATTGACATTTCATAGATAGGTCTTATCAAACCAAGGTGAGGGGTAATACAGTTATCTCTAACATGAACATGTTATGATTATAAAATTCCCACCTAAGTTGAATTTGTTATATAACAATATAGAAGTAAGTGAAGATCAATTTACAGTGATTGATATTGCCAAGATAAAAATCACAAGACAGATTAAAAAGGGCTTCAATTCATGATAGAGGTGCATGATAATTAATCTGAAACAAAAGATTGAGTGAATAATGAACCTGGAAATGAGGGCTATTAAGGCAGCGTCCAATCTGTCTAAAAAGTGGAACCATGCACAGCCTGAACTCAGACCCCTGAGTAACATCCAGAACCTCTTCAAGCTCTCCAATGAAAAGAACCTCCTTTTGGCAATTCGTGAGCGGCCAATACTTCAACAAGCTCCTAATGACAGTATCCGCTAACTTATAATCCTTCTCTACGAACTGGGTAACACAGTAAGACAACTGCTGGTGATACCCAGATAAGCATTTGGCCTTATGGAGCGGCAACAATGCCTTTACAAGAAAAATTCGGTGCTCCTCCTTCATGGGCACTGTAAATCCATTAATTACACTCCCTAGAATCTCCAGCAACTCACCGATCCCGTAATACCTTTCTGTCTCGTACGCGAACCTGTAGAAGATGTTACTAATGGAGGACCTAATAAACGGCCTGTGCACCATGAACTTGCCGTATATCCTATGAACCGCGGTCTTCAAATACTCTCTTTCCCGCGGATCTTCAGAGTCGAACATGTCGAGTAATCGGAGGACGAAGGTGTGATTTATATACCGCTTTGCGATTTTTGGTTCAATTTCGGACGAGACGACGTAACGAAGGAGGAGTTCGTAGATGAGTTGGAGATGAGGCCAGGAGGGATCCAAAGAAGGCTCTTCCTCGTCCGGGTCTGCACCTTCCGGAGTCGAGCTGTTTTCATGGTACGCTGGCGGGAGACACCGGAAAATGTTAACGGAAATCATTTTGATTAATTCTCCTTGCATGGTTTCATTGACTTTGCTGGAACCGGACTGGATATAATCCACCAATTCGAGCAATGTCTGTCTCTTGATCTCCTTTTCGCGCGGCATTTTTAGGGTGTCGGAGAAATCGCAGGAGCAGCAGCACATCTGAGCCTTGCGAATGAAGAGGAGAGGCCGATCAGAAGCGGAGACGTCCTTCAGCAGCGGGAGAACCTCGATCGACGGCGGCGGTCCGGATAATGCAGATCGCTGCGGCGTCGGCGAGGGTTGTGGGCTGGTTAATGTTGACTCGGGAGCGGGAAGCAAGGGATTGGTGATGCCTCCGGTGAAGATACGGGACGCGTGGTTGACGGTGACGCTGTTGGAGGTCTCGTGGTGGTTATTATCCGATTTGTTGAACACTTTTCTTTGACCTAATTTGATTATTTTGTTGAACATCTTGGTGGGTGGTAGGGTTTGTATTTCGCGCGTCAAACGAACAGGAGGAGATCAACACCATGAAGGAATCGGTAGTTTGCGTTGATGATGTTTTTTCCTATTTCCTTTTTTTTTGTTTGTTAAATTTTAGGGATTGAAGGAAGTAAAGTGTTCTGGGTTGAATTGAGGGGAGGTGGGGAAAGGGAATCCATGGTGTTGATGAGAGTGGTGTTTGGAAAGCGAGAAAATGAGAGAGAAAAAGAAGAGAAGGTTGTGTTTGTGCAGTGTACCGTTGAGGACAGAACGTGTATTAAGGAGAAAGACGAGAGAGTGTTGAGGAAGAGTTTTTAATTTAATTTTCCGTTAAATTTTTTTTTTTAAATTTTCGTTATTTCTCTTTGAAATATATTAAATATCCAATTATTTTTATTAAACTTTTATTTATCAAATTAATAAAATTTAAAACTCAGAAAAAATCACCATTTAGATTCTTTTAAATTATAATTTTAAAAAATTTGTCACAGAATATTCTGTAATGAATCATATTTTTCTTAGAAACTGATACCTTCTGCAGGCCATCGTTTCCAAGACTGGGAGTTTTCTGATCACGTGTTTTGATAATATTTTGCCAAGACATGTAAGAGCAAGTACATGGCTGCTGGAGACTCCCATGCAAATTATATGCGCACACACACACACATATATATATATATATGTATGTATGGGTATATGCATACACTGATGGCAACCGAGGTAATAACAGCATAATCAACTTGCTACAACTATGTAAAACCTGTTCCACATGACTAAATCCTGTGCAAAACCATGCCAAAAATTTAACTAACTACACAAAAGCTGTTCAGATCATCCGGGAAGAAATTGTATCTTGCATCCTCAGGCGATGAACTCTAAGAGACAGTACAAAAATGTAAAGCAACACTAACTTTCATGCTTTAATGAGGAGCTCTACTCACTAGTACAAAAAACAAGGGACCAAGAAGATAAATCACTGCCAAGCCTGATTGCTGTCCACCATCAGACGATTTCCGGTAGTCGTTACTTTCCCAACCCTTTTTCCAGGCAGAACCACCATCATCGACAGATGCTTCTCCCTTCTTCAATCCACCCACCTTCTCTACCTCCATGATTCCCATCACTACTATCCTCTCAACCTCGCTTGTTCCAACCCGAAGATTGATCCTGATTAAAAGACCTTCCTCCTCTGCCAAACTGATTCCTACCTCCTCGGAAACCTCCCCCCCTCCTCCCAGAATTTCTTGCCTCACTCCAAGACCTTTCTTGTTTTCCCGAACCTTCACCGTGTTGGCCCCAACTCGAGCCTCCATCTTGCTTTCCCCAACCAGAACCTTCCTCCTGCTTTCCTCCGCTGGAACCTCCCTCTTCTTTGTTCCAAGATCCTTCTTGTTTTCCCCAACTTGAACCTGCATCTCCTTTTCCCCGCCCAGAACTTCCATCCTGTTTACCACAACCCAGACCACCATTTTTTTTATCACACCCAGAATTCCCACCCTGTTGACCCCAAGAACCTCCTCCTTGTTTCCCCCAACCAGAACCTCCCTCCTGCCTGCCTCCACTGGAACCTCCTTCTTCTTTATTCCAAGATCCTTCTTGTTTTCCCCAACTTGAACCTGCATCTTTTTTTCCCCACCCAGAACCTCCATCCTGTTTACCCCAACCCAGACATTCATCTTTTCTATCACAGTCAGAATTCCCACCCTGTTGACCCCAAGAACCTCCACCTTGTTTCCCCCAACCTGAACCTGCATTTTTTTTATCACGACCAGAATTACCGCAATGTTGACCCCAAGAACCCCCATCTTGTTTATTCAAGCCTCCAGCATCTTTTAAAGAGCTGATTGGATCACCGGCGACTGCTGTGGCTTTGCCCCAGCCATCAGAAGCACTGCTTCCAGTGCCAGCTTCATCTTTATTTCCATCTTTTTCCCAACTCCGACCTTCATCCTGTTTCCCCCAACCAGAATCTCCATCCTGTCCACCTCCAATGAAACCTCTCTCTTCTTTATTCCAAGATCCTTCTTGTTTTCCCCAACCACAACCTCCATCTGGTTTTCCGCAACCAGAATCCCCATCTTGTTTACCCCAACCCGAACTTTCATCTTTTTTACCACAAAAATTCCCAACCTCCTGATCCCAGGAACCCCCATCTTGTTTATTGCAGCTCACAGCATCTTTTGAAGAGCTGATTGGGTCCCCAGCAACAACTGCAGCTTTGCCCCAGGATTCAGAAGCATTGCCTCCAGAGCCAGCTTCACTGTTTGCTTTACTCCAGCTGCTCCAACCACCAACTTGATCACGGTTAACAACAGGCCTTTGATTCCAATCTGCATAATTCAAAACAACAAATCAACTGAAGATAGAATCTCAATAAAAAGCCATAGGTCATCTATGTGTAGATATACCTTTTCTCACATTATAATCAGAACTAAAAGAATTTGCAGGACCAGACTCTGGCTGAGACTGCAACCATCACAAAATTCAGCATGTTAAGCTCTTAACATATAAATACTTGTACACTTTGTACAAGCAGAGGAGTAAAATAATTTTAAGAAGTTCAGCACCAACCGAATGAGACTGTCCTCGATCAAATGACCGTCCTCTGCCAAATTGATTTCTAGCTCCTCGAAAACCTCCTCTCCTCCCACCTGATCCACGACCCCTATCCAAGTTGCATTTTTCTCCTTGTTTGTTCCAAGAGCCTCCATCTTGTTTGCTCCATGAGGAGCCACCTTGCTTCCTCCAATTAGATCCCCCTCCTTGTTTGTTCGAAGAGCTTCCATCCTGTCTGCTCCACGAGGAACCTCCATCCTGTTTAAAATCCCCATCTTGTTTGCTCCATGAGGAACCCCCTTCTTGCTTACTCCAAGTAGATCCCCTTCCTTGTTTGTTCCAAGAACCTCCATCCTGTTTTGAGTCTCCATCTTGTTTGCTCCATGAAGAACCCCCTTCTTGCTTGCTCCAAGTAGATCCCCCTCCTTGTTTGTTCCAAGAGCCTCCATCCTGTTTCAAATCTCCATCTTGTTTGCTCCATGAGGAACCTCCGTCTTGTTTGCTCCAGGTAGATCCCCCTCCTTGTTTGTTCCAGGAGCCTCCTTCCTGTTTTGAACCCCCACCTTGCTGGCTCCAAGTAGATCCCCCTCCTTGTTTGTTCCAGGAGCCTCCTTCCTGTTTTGAACCCCCACCTTGCTGGCTCCAAGTAGATCCCCCTCCTTGTTTGTTCCAAGAGTCTCCATCCTGTTTTGGACCCCCATCTTGTTCGCTCCAAGTAGATCCCCCTCCTTGCTTGTTCCAAGAGCCTCCATCCTGTTTGCTCCATGAGGAACCTCCATGCTGTTTTGAATCTCCATCTTGTCTGCTCCATGAGGAGCCACCATCTTGTTTGCTCCAAGTAGAACCCCCTCCTTGTTTTCCCAAAGAAACTCCATCTTGTTTACTCAAAGAATCTCCATCTTTCCTCCCTAAGGAAACCACATCTTGCTTGCTCTGGTTCTCCTCTAGCTTGCTCCATGAGGAATCCTTATCCTGTTTGCTCCATGAGGGGCCTCCGTCTTGTTTGTTCCAAGAACCTCCTCCTTGTTTGCTAGAAGAACCACTATCTGGTTTGCCCCACGAGGAAACCCAGTCTTGCGTGTTCCCATCTTTTTTGTTCCATGAAGAGTCTCCATCTAGCTTGCTCAAAGAAGAACCGCCATCTTTTTTCTGGCAAACACCTCCATGTTTTTTGATACGGTTTCCCTCTTGTTTGCTCCATGAGGCATCCCCATCTCGTTGCTCCAAGATGAGCCACTCTCTTGTTTACCATGAGAATCTCCCTGTTGCTCCAGGATGAACTTCCATCTTGCTCACCACAAAAACCTGTTTCTTGTTTGCTCCAAGAGGAACCCCCTTCCTTACCCCAACCAGAACCGCCATCTTGCTTTCCCCAACTAGGACCCCTATCTTGCTTTTCCCAAGATGTTCCTCCATTATTGCCAGAAGCCATTGGCTTGCTCCAACTCTCAGTCTGATCTTCATTACTAGAACCACTTTTCTTCCAACCTGCTGCATCATCTCCAAAATTCTTTGTGCAGCCAACCTCAGCAGTTTCACTTCCACTGCCTATTTTAGCTTTCTTCCAGCCACCCGCTTGATCAGTTTCTGCTTCCTGCTGAGCCCAGCTCCGACAAGCATTTCCACAGTCTCCAGTTGGATTCTCTGCTACAGGCATGGAACTGTTCCAGTTTGATGTGTTTCCACCGGCACAATCGTTGTTGCTCCACTTCTCAGAGGTCTCCTTGTTGTGGCAGCTATTCCAAGCCTCTTTCGAAGAGCCTAATGAATCTCCAGTGGCACCCCAACCATCAGATCCACCATTGCCAGAGCCATCTTCAACAGTAGCTTTTGCCCAGCTGTTCCAACCACTAACTTGACCATTACCAATAGGTTTCTTGCCAGCTGCTGCTGCTCCCCAAGTTGAATTTTGATTTGAATCTGCATAAGGTAAAGAACATAAAATATTCATTTATAGCTCCTTTGTCAGAAAAAGATTGGTTACCAAGCATACCTTTTAAATTACTCTCCTCAGAACCAAACAGATTAGCAGGATTTGGCTGTGTCTGAAGCTTCAACCATTAGAAAATCAATGGTAATAAGATTATTAAATACTAAAGGTTGAAAAACTGTAACATGCATCTGAGTGTTAAAATAAATGCATTACACACAGGAAAATGTCTCAAGGAAGTTTGGAACTAACCGAGATGCCAGAGGTGTTGAAACTAGGCCAAGAACTCCTGCAAGAAAGTGCTACCAAAGGTAAGATTATGAAGGATATTCCCGAGAGAGTGTGCAGACCGAGGAAAACAAGAGGCTAAACCATAAATAAGTTCTCTTAAAAGGACAATTTAAACCATTATGTGTTTGAATAAAAAGTGCAAACTGCATATTGATATAGACACCAAGGGTGTGTCGCCCATGTACAATATTTACAACTTAAACCATTAATTAAATGATAGATCACAGAACAGTGTGATAGTTGTCTCTAGCCAACAAAGATTAACCAAGAAAATTTTTAATGCAAGACCGACTTTGTTATAATGTTCATGAAGTACCAACCAAAGCAGCCAGAATAAAAAGCTATCCAGCTAATAACTATGACTAGAAAAGCTCACCCAAATGGACATTAACTCTTAAGACAAGTTTCTCCAACAATGACCACCTTGGCATTAGCATGTTAGTGTCCACCAAGTCATGCAATCTAAAGGTAAATTGAATTACAGTACACTTCTAAATGATACAACAACCCAAACAAAGTCATTAAGGTGGATTAACTAAACTGCACAAGTTATCAACAAAATCCATCAGTATATTAACAAAAGAATATAACCCACAGAGCCCATCATCTAATAATGCACACTTAAGAAGGGCACCATGTCCATATAAAAGAAATTTCAAGGGCTACATAAGAGCATTATAAAAATTTAGTCAGACAGTGACCACTCTCTGCAGAACACCAGATACATGTGCCAGACATGTACTAAAGTCAAATTGTTGAGAATTACAATTTAAGCCCTTATGATTTGTACTAAAGTCAAATCCTGTTGTTTAATGCAACATTCAAATATCATGGGGTTTCTCTATTGGTCACACTCACCAAGACCTTCAAAATAAATCCAAATGCAGAAACCTCAAGCCTGAAGGTAGTGAATAAATAAATAAATAAATAAACCACAGAATAAAATACCAAACCAAGAAATTAATAACTTTCTAAAAGTTAACAGTATTAGTGACTAATGGTGAAACTGGGAAAAAGTAGAATTTTTATCAAAAAAACACAGGTACTAATTGCCAAACTGCAGTTAGTGAAACCGTATTTTTACCATAAAATTAATATAAGATAATTGGAACTCAAGTGGAACTTAAACCTAAATAATGTAAAGGGGGTTTAACAAGACTTACATCTACAAGATTCAGAAATTACCAGAAAATTTATTGATCAATGTGACACAGTATAAAGCATCGGAAGACCAAAAGATATTTCTTATTTACTCCTTTTGGAGCACAGGATCTTCTGCTTGACATTAATTTTCAACGGGAGACGACAAACCATTAATGAGTACAAACATCAAACACAAGTAAACTTGCAACTGCACAAAACTCTCTGTTTTCCCAAACATTAGGTAACAAAAGGACATTGCCTATAAACATGAACAGGAAAGCCATCTAGTAACAGGATGGCTGGACTGCAGATATTACGTCAAATAACATGCCTACAAGTCAAAATAATCATTCTCCTTTTGAAATTATGCCTAAATGAAATTTGTCAAAGTAGAAGCCTAAAAGTATATTACAGGCTACCATTAAAAGAAAAGGCAACATATGAAAAACACAGGTAGAATAACAAGGTGCTCAGCTAACAAACTCTCCCAAAAATAAACGTACTCTGCAAGTCAAAATAATAATCTCTATTTACACGGTATGCGTACATTTAACATGAAATATGCCAAAACAGTAGAAAACAATTATATGACAAACTACCAGATAGCTAACAAAGTGCTTGAATAAAAAGGAAATCAACCATAACTTACCTTTCAGCTGAGGGCCTTCCACCATTCCATCTATTATCACCCCCTGCAGATGCACCTGCTCTATCCAACCAATCTTTCCGAAGTAGAAAATGCAAAAAATAGAACAAACATGAGTTAAATCTCATATTAAAGAAGAAAGTGAACAGAATAAGCAAAGGTATACAACTTTTCCATGGAAGAAGTTAGAGCGAAGTATATATGGAACTCTCGACTGATTGCAACTGACTGTATTGACATCAAGAACATATTCTATTCCAAGTAATAAATTTCAAACTTTGAAACAACAAAGAGATTTCTACCTCCAGAGCTGCCCTCTGCTCCAAGTAGATCAAAGGGTTTCAATGAACCAGATCCTGTATCATCCCTTTTGAGGCAAGGAATAGCCAATCAGAACTTACAAATATTGGAATAAGCAACAAATGCAAGAAAAAAAATCACTCTGATGCAAGTGGCGAAAACAAAGAAAGTCTACCCGAGAGACATGGCAGAACTCCTCCCACGAACCTCAGAAAGATACTCAGACTTGACTGCATAATAAGACATCAATTTTAACAAGAATGGAAACTGCTAGAAAGACACTAGAGTCACCTGCAAACCAACAGCAAACGGACCAGACACCATTAACAAACCTGTAAGAACCTTATGCTGGGAATCTAGTTTCACTGTAACATCAGAGAAGCGTATTGCCAAGACACGACAGAGGTAACCCTTTAATGGACCCACTCGGATTCTCAAGGTTTGACCGACAGAGAACATACTATCATTATCTCCTCGGTTAACTGCATTTCAGAATAATTATTCAGTATTATACTTTTTGGTTTGAAATAAATATTGGCAGACGTCGATTACAATAGCAATTTAATTTACTACACATACAGTTACTATTGCTTTCTCTCGCTTGCCATGGCTTTTTGGGCGAAAGAGGAGATTTTGGAGATGAAGAAAAATCTCCAAAACCAGAAGAACGTGCTTCATCATTCTGAACAAAAGGGATAAATTCTTGAAATTGTTAAGCTTCAAAAATTTATGAGAAAAAGGAAAGGCCCAGCGGAAAGTTTCAAAGACAAACCTTTTCACTACATGCATCGAAAGAAAGCTTGATTTTCTCACACATTGAAGACTTGCAGCAGAAATAACCCCCATTTTCTGTTTCATTTTCATCATACAGAAATAAGATCCCTCTATATACTTGTTTTACAGTCCCTTGCTGACCCTGCAGATGGTGACTAAGTAGTGTTAAATGTCATTGTGCTTTAATGAATACCTACTTGAACAGAAACTGTCAGACAGAGAAAATCAGGTTGTAATTTCTGGTAACTGTCAGACCTCAGATGGACCTTCTGCAACCTTCACAAGATCATTAACTGATACATTCTTTGTGTTCCGATCAAAGGCAGTAAATTTTGTATCTATTGGTCCACTCTTTATCTCTTTCATGTCAACAGAGACAACATCAGGTCCATCTGAACCTTTCAAAATCTGGAAATTTTAGCAACAGGTAAGTGGTGAACAATAAACTGATTGGGTGAATAATGTAATTTGAATACCTTATAACAATTGTCTTTCTCCATGCCTAAGATAAGGCCAAAATCTTTTCGGCTGCAATAAAAAGATCATTAACGCAAAAATTTAGGTAAATAAGCACACCAATGTATGCTAGCAAGGATTACAAAATTCTGTGCAGGAATTACCCAAAGCACACGAGATCATATAAATCATATTTATTCGCCATGCTAGACCCTGATGAGCCTTCCCCTTTCCCACCAGACTTTGATGAGCCCTCTCCTTTCCCACCAGATTTCGAAAAGCCCTCTACTTTGACACCAGACCCCGATGAGCCTTCTCCTTTTCCACCGGAACCTGATGAGTCC